ACGAGACGATACACTGAAACCGTGTCTGACAATACCCCGCCCACCGGTGCCTTCCCCTTTATCTGCCCGCTTTAATATCACGCTCCCTGAGTAGAACGCGGCGTTACGTTCAGACGTCGCTGTTCCGCTAACACACTTCTATGAGAAGTTCCCTCCGAGAACTTTCACCATATTAACCCAATATCAGCCATATGCTTTAGAATCGGGTTAATAACCGCTCGGCGAGATATCTTCCCTTGTGCCGAGAGGCGCGCTAATTATCGAACGTCAATCTGATTTAACGTCATTTACGCAAAATTGCGGCGTAGGGCGTTAAATTGATCGCACGGGCTTTCGCGTGTCTGCGCGCGACTATAACCGGGAAAGCATGCATCTTGCACACACACGCTCGTGTTGCATGGCACATGTAAAAATATATCAGCGGGAGGAAACGATCGCGAGAGAGATGTATCGAGGCCCCGGAAGAAAGAGAGAGAGAGAGAGGGGAGCGGGGGCAGGAGAGGCGGACAGGTTGTTGGTTCGAGAAGGAAAAAAGGAAAATAGAAAGAGGAAAGAAAGAACAGGAGCAGGAGAAGAACAAACGGGTGTCTCCCGTTTTTCCAAAGTTCTCCGAACGAACGACGACTCCTCGTCGGACGCGCGTTCTCGCTCAACCGCTCATAAATCCAGCCGCCATATCGTTCTCGTCCATTAGCATCTCGTCGTGCGTAGAATCGCGGCGAGGACAGCGTATCCTGCAGTTTGTCCCGGTATCGCAGTTTGAGTAACACACCGACGTCCGCGGAGGCAAGCAGTCAGCGCTGGTGGGAAGTATAAAATGTCAATACGTTTACCGGCGGCCCATTGTTGAGCTTGATCTATGTTTATGGGCGTAACGGGCGTAGGTCGCCGTCGCCGTTGCATATAGAACGAGACGACGAGAGAGCAGCGCAGAAAGCGCAAGTATCTCTTTCTGTAATGTTCCGGCCGTAATAGTACAAAGGCGGATCCTCGGTTCTCGCTCGTGTCCGCGGCGATATATACGCCGGCACTTTGCGCGAGCTCGCACGTAACACTTTGACACACACACACGCGTGGGCGGGGAGGAGGGATTGTTTCGAGTTCCGAAAATTGCGACCTCCGTCCTCTGCACGCGAATCTGTATCCGCGCATCGTGCCCGCGGCGGGGCGGGAGGGAACTTTAATTAACCTGGCCGTTGTAATCTGTGTCTTATTCCCATTGCTCTTCCTCATCAATCTGGTCCGCGCTGGACGCAAGCGTTGCCGTTATTCGACAGAGAGAGAGAGAGAGAGAGAGAGAGAGAGAGAAAGACAGAGACAGAGAGAGAGAGAGAGAGAGGGAGGGAGGAAGGGAGGGAGAAAAGAGAAAATACACACAATCGGTTATCGCGGTCGAGAGGCTCGCGGCTGATTTTTCTATCCAGGAGGAGGATAAGAGTGTAACGGCGTCGAGTGTAAGCGGCTGCCAGGAAATTTGTTAATATGCAAAAGGGATTGGCGCTATCTCTGGCGGAGCTGTCGGATAAGAGCCCGGGAAGATCGGGGAAGTTATTTGTGCAAGACGAGAAATTACCTCCCTTCGTGCGATGTCTCGTAGCCGAGGAGCGTGTACTCGCGCTATCTTACGCGCGCGTGTCTTGGTACGTGTGCGCGCGCGCGCGCGCGCGCGAGCGAGCGAGCGAGCGGCCGTGTGTCGGCGTTTGCACAGATATGTGTTTGTGCGCGCGGC